TTTCATCTTAGTAAAGGGAAGGAAACTAATCCAGCCTCTTGCACTTTTCATACTGCATTTTCACAAAAGTGACTAAGCTCTGCCTGGTCTGCCATTATTACAGCTTTGTACATTCATATTAATACCGGAACGTCGTTATATTGGTGTGGCCAGTCTGTGTATTCACATTGAGTACAGCACAAGACAGAACAGCCGGAGCTCCACATACACACACAGTCAGACATGCACATACGCACGCACTCACGCTTCTTCTGACTCTGTCCATCAACAAAACACAAAACATGCACACACACATTCACACACACCTCCATTGCACTTTGATTTAAAAAAAAAAAAAACTAAACAAAAAAAACCACAAGGGGCATCATTTAGCAGCTAACTCGTACGACCAAATCATCGTGCCACACGTTGCTTCGACATGTTGCCCGCTGATTGGACGAGCGGTGCGAGTAAAAGGGGGAGGGAGCGGAGGGTTGGTGGGTGACACTCAGGAGAGGAGTACAGAAATGGAGAAAGCTCACCAGTGCATTAGGGACAGCACGGTGCAATTCGTTCCATTGGCAGCACTTCAAAGAGGAAGAGGAGGGGGATTATCCATCCCAACATTAGCCCCTGGATTCTTCCACCAACACACACATACACACACACACACACACACACACACACACACACACACACACACACACACACACACAGCAAGCTGGAGGGGTTGGTCGGGGGGTCTGATTGGGTTGGGGTCTTGGGAGGACGGGATGGAAGGATGGAGAGGGGATTTTTCAATTTGCTAGTAAATCAGAGATGATTGGAATACTCTCCCGTGCACAGACACACACACTCACCTTCTCACACACAAAAAGTGATGCAATAGAAACATGCATGCATCTCAACGGGGAAAAAAGGGACCCCATGCCTGAACCCATGAGGTTGAAAAAAAAATGCTGAATGGATCCCAAATATTGTAATGTGGGTTAAAAAAATGTGTTTCTTACAGGTGGTAAATCTGGTGTATGTGCTGGAGAAACACACCTATATTAAATGAGCAGCCGAGAAATAAAAGAAGAAGAAGAAGAAGCAGAAGAAGAAGGAGTAGTGCAGGAGGAAGTAAAGTGGCGGAGACAAAAGAAAGCTGGTGTATCGACAGCACCAGTAGCGGTGAGCTGTCAGCACTCACTTGGCCGATACTTGACCAATTGATGATCAATCTTCTCATGGGAGAGCTGCCAGCAGCGGACATAATCAATCCTCCTTCCTCTGTCAGACCTTGGAGTGATGCTAAAGAGGAACCCTGCTTGATTAAAAGCAGCTCGAGACTCAACAACCTGCCATTTCCTCCGTTTAAACTGTCACCCATTGACGTCACCCTCCCCCCTGTGGGTCCATCAGTAACAAATGCCAGCCACATTGTTTTACTCTGCAGCTGTGGAATTGCTTTCAGGCTAAGAAAATCTACTTTGACAAAAAAAAACATAATTCAATGATGATTTAGGATTCTTCTTTCCAAGTTTTGAGAAAATCCAGCAGGCAGTGTTTGACACATTGTCAAAAGGCAAAGGAAGCTCGGCTCACTGTGACTTCAGAAAAAATGTAAATGGACACATCTATCAACACTGCTGATCCCATAGTGGGAGTGCAACTCATGTCTGAAGACTCTGAAGGGTGTTCACTATGATTGGTTTTGAAACAGACTACTGAATAGTGGGATTTGGTGTATCGTCAAGACTTTTGATCCTTCTTACACTTGTATCGTCCTGTCGTACATGCATAGTCTCAAGTCTTTAAGGGGCCAGTCGAAACAAGTCTCAATTCATATTTCTGTGCGAGTCAAGTCTGCTACTAGAGTCCTTATCTCTGATGGGAGTTGGCTTCATTTTTCAACACCGGAGGTTGCTGCTCGGGTACACCCTAGACAGTGCTAGAGTTTTTCAGAGATTTGGCACGCTAGCTATCTAGAGGCCTGTAAACATAGTATTCAATGTTTAAGATGGAAAAAGTTGTAAAAAATAAAATAAAAATAGAATTATACTTTGGTATTCTCTTTTTATGAATCACAACACATTTTTATCATGTGGAATTTTCAGTTAAAATGTGTGTTGCTTATACAAAAGACTGAAAACAAAAATTAACAAGGATATATATTCAGATATCAAATGGCATCTGGAAAAAAAATAGTTCCTTGAAAAACAGCTGTTTTCTAACTGTTCCTTTCTACTGACCATTTCAAATGCTTTACTTTTTATTGATTGGATGAACAGAATCCATCTTAAAGACTTGAAGTGGTATGAAGCACTCAACAACACACACATCAATAATGGGTTGTCAGGAGGGAGAGAGATATGGAGTCCACAGATACACAGCATGGTCAAGAGGGTAGCAAAGCCTACAATAATCAATAAACCCTGACCACTGGAGGCCTCAGTTGTACAGTATGGCTACAGTTACACAAGTTTTCAAGACACCAACACCTCTGCAGAGGCATGTGTCCATTATAGAGAAATTATATAAATCAAAGTGATGTGCACAGCTACAGACATATAACCTTATGTACACTAATACATCATATAATGTAGCTCGAGACTTTTATCTTCCCTTACAAAAAAAAATACAAAAGCTGAAATATTGTGGCACACAGTGCTCCAATCAGCCACATGTTCAGGTCAAAACTAGTATTGCATATCTAAATGAACCCTGAAGGATGCTGGCCAAAGCACGCTGATCTGTTGGTCTAATAATATGCGTTTGGTGTAAGTCTTTTAATATTTTTTTTTTTGTGCAGAACAGTGGGTCTTTCGCTTGATAAAAAGCAGTCTAATTGCCAAAAGGTCGTACTGCTGGGAGACAAATTAAATCAAACCTCAATGCCAAACCAAGGCAACTGAGCTCTGTGAAAATCACTGCAAAGAAATGAAGAAAAGGGTATATAGTAGAGTGAATCGTGTTGATCTTACAGACTGCTGAAAGAAAAGATGTACAAACTGGTTGTTAAGAGGGTTTATGGAGGAAACACAGATACTTTCTGGTAGATTACGTTTCAGAAGTGAGCAAATACCATGTGATGTTTTTCAGATTGTGGTAATGATAGAAGACATTTGCCAAAAATCATAGCAGTCTAACCGCCTGTCCTTGGCACTTTAGCGTGTCCCTCTGAACTCGGGTAGCAGTAGATGTTTGGCTGTGGGCTGCACGCTGTCATTCAGATTCTGTGGGCTGGATTGCAGGGTCAGAAAGAGGTTTTGAGAATGGCGCTGCACTGAATGCCAATCAACTATCAGAGCGCTAAGAACATGAGCCTAGAGTGAGGTTTTAGGCATTGGACTGCAACTAGTTTGAGAATCTGAGCAAGGAAATGTACTAAGTGATTCGCATTCGGCTGCCAAGTATGAGCTGCAATACTGAAGGCAGCGGGGGAATACTTTACCATTAGGGTCCATCCTTGAAACTTTGGTAGTACAGTTAATGTTACGACTTAAACCCTGATATTCGTAATATGAATATTGATGCTTCTGATCTTATTCTTTGAGTTGTTCCCTTTCTTTTATTTATCCACCACTTACATGTAGAAATAATAGTAATCCAGAGAAACGTTTCCCATGTTAAAAGGGGAGATGGGTAACGGTGCAGTAAGAAACAGCTTTGTGCAGAAGCCTGAATGAGCCTAAAAGATTTTAATCTTATCCAGTTACAATGGCTGGTAAGAAGACTTAAAGAAAAGTTGTTGTCAATCAAAACAACCATTTCCAGTTAAACAAATTCATCAAACTTTTTTTTTAAGGAAACGAGCAACTCTCTGAATCCGATTTATTTTACGTCCTTACCCTTTCAGCAGTGTCAACAACCACAGAAACTACAGCCCACCTTGTCTTCAATACTTTCTGCCGGCTATGCTATAGACTAGTAATGCCTGACTTTCACAGTTTGTCCACCAGCTAGTTCATCGATTGGTGACCAAACTCTGGTTAGGTAGTATCTGAGCAGCACCCAATATGGAGGCTTTGAACTTTACACAACTTTTCATGCAGAAAAAGAGGACGTTCTTTGTCTCAACAGTCAAAAATCAACCGCACTGGGGCTAAGTAACCACTACCTGAATCACTTTAAGTCCCTGAAAGGTGCTGACCGCTGACCAGTTGAGCTTCACTGTCTGTGACATACAACCAAAGATCTGAGGATAAGACAATTGACCACTGCTCTACTGCCCATAGTGGTCTGTCATTTTTTTCCCAAACAAACTAACTCCACTCCTGTAGAGACTCATCATTCATTAAGGATAGTCCAATAATGGAAGCTTAATACTGAAGAACCACTTGAGTTCAGATCAGGCAGAGTGTTCCTTCCCAGAACATCAATATCCAATAGATTTCAAATCAAAACCTTCCTCTCTATTGGATGCAGTAACAAGGAAATAACAGTGTTTTTTTTTCTCTGGAGAACTTCAGTAAGGATGTAATTGGTATTGGGCACCTGAGTCATTTAGAAGAAACAAAGACTTCAGCCCAAACTATTCCAACTTTCTAAAGTAGCAGGACAGTAGAATCTCAAGGGACAAACTATGCGTGTGTTCCTTTTATTCTTTGGGTCACCTGAGACTGAAATTAACGTCCCAAATCCAGTTGCACAAGAACAAAAACATCAAGAGGTCAGCTAAATGCCCTGTAAAGACTTGCCATACATTGGGAATAAACTGTTAAAGTGAACACAGATCTCTGGGGAGACAAAATGATGCTGTGTGGTAGCTATATTTTCAATTAAATATCTAACACTGGACTATCATTCAATCACTTATTATTCAGCCGATTCATTATGCTATCATCTTTCAGGCTATTCATTCATTGGACATTAATATTAATGACAGCCAAAATCAACTTCATATGTAACTGTCAGTAATCTTTTTAATGAACATCCTGGGGTAATTGTAAACTAACCATTAAACGTCAGCCACATTGCCTGGATCCAATATTGAGTGGACATATACCCTGTCTGAAAACACACACACATACACTCACCCTCTCCAGATCTTGTCGTAGGTGTGTGAAGAGTTTGAGTCGTCTGTAGAGGACGTCCTGCTCCTGCTGGGCCAGGTTGTCCACTTCATCCCTCTTTAAGGTCACCAGAGGTCGATTAAAGTTGGCCTTCCTCTTAAGCTTCCAGAACTGATACAAAAAGTCCACCTTGACAAATATTTAAAAAGATTAATGGCTGCAGAGGGCTGCTTATTACATTATTACATTGTCTTTTTTTCTGCTGATCATTTTTGACAACTGGTATCCATGGCATAAGAAGAAATAATAAGAGTCTGTGCTGGCTGTGCATATTTCTATACAAAACCAAAGTATTTTAGCACTTTCAATGCTGAGTGTCCGAAGTGCAAGAACGCCCGCAGTGTCAGCTTTTTTTGTCCCAGCACTTACAGCGCTCCGAGTTAAAAATACCACTACCACTTCTTAATGTCACTAGTTCTAAATGTCACTTCTTCCTCACCAACCAATCAAAATCAAGAAGGGGCTTCCTATAACACTTCGGCAACTAAAATGCCAGAAAAGTATCTAATCCCATTTATTTATCTATTTTTTTGTCTATTTTTCGGAGGGAACAATTTCCAAAAATATGCTCCTGCTAATACCAGGACACGGTTCTGTTCCATTGTTTGTAAAAAAAAGATGTCCTTGAATAAGAGGAAGTACATAACACACAAATACATCTGAAACATACTTGTCAGTTGGGACGGGGGGAAATTGAAGTGCTGTGAGAAAACTTTTCTAACCTAGGTTCAATAAGCACTTTGAATTTAGGATGTGTGCACTGCCAGCGCAACAGTAGACATGGTCCCTTAATGCTGCACTGTCTGCTACTGAATCAATCAAATGATGCTCTTCAAGGAAATGATTCATGCAATATATAACTAACTTCCATTACCATTAATCACTAATCCACCTGAGAGCAACCTTATTTAACAACAGTTACATTTTTTAAAAGACAGCAATTGTGCTCATTATTTTCATCCCCTAGTATGAAAAGCTTTCAGTTGTAGCCTTCGCGCCTCTTTTGTAAGAATAAAATACCTCGCCTGCAGCCACAAACCTGTCTGAAAAGTAGAGACCGGTTAATCACCGCACATTCTAAACAAATATGTGTGGTTCATCAGACAGTTTTCCTGTGAATAGGGAGCACTTGATTTGATGCAGTGGAGCCAGCACTCTAAATGCAACTCATCAATGCCACATCTGATTGCATTTAATTAGGTGTGAAAGCCAAACTCTTCAATGTGACTAATGTATCATTAACTGAGTGTTCAAAATGCTCCGGAAAAAAAAAAAACCTTTTCAAGTAAAAAAAAAACCAAAAAAACAACAATTACGTATTAATATTTAAAGGTTCTCTTTTTTTATTTAAACATTTTAGGTCAACATTTACAGTAAGACATTTTCCAGAAGTGCTACATAGATTTATTGAGTACTGTAACAGGATGCAGTGTGCTCTTTTTTTTTTTTTAAATTGGTCTAACCATCAAAGGAAGCTTAAACTCCTTTGAGGGCAGCATTCTTTTCATGGTTTGGAGCAAACTCTAGGGTTTAGATTGTATTGTAATTAATCACGTTTTCTAATCGCATCTTTTAATAAGGCAGTTTTTTCTTACCACTGTAACTTTTGCTGCTTTGCTAAAGTGATCATGATGGATAGGCCGGGTCTTTGTAATATAGCAATGAGTAAGGTCTTTTATCTGCTTTTTGTAACATAACAATGAGTAAGGTCTTTTACCTGCTCTTTTGTAATGTTAAAAGACAAAGAGTAAGGTATTTTACCTGCTTTTTGTAAAGTGTCTCGAGATAACACTTGTTATGAGTTGACGCTATACAAAATAAATTGAATTGAATTGAATTGAAATCTTTGGAATTCCATTATTTTGCCTTTGAATGGTTTTTGTTATGCTTTTATTTGGTATTATTGCTTAGCTTTTATTAATTAAGCTAAGTCTTTCTGACAGTCCGAGTGACCACTATACAGACATTCTCAAAATAATGCACTTCTTTTAATTCATATGACTCAATTTAGGCATTGGAATTGAACGTTTCAGCAGGCATTGGCTATATACAGTGAAATCCTCCCTGTGAGGAGTAGTGCTTTATCACTTACCAATTCTTATACTGGAAGACGCAAAAATGTGTCCATTACTCCCAGAGGCTACTTCTCTGATGTAAGCCAATGGTTTCCAAGTTTGGGTTTTAAGAAAGCTGGTTAAACATTATATTTTTGAATATTCAGGTTTCTAATGCTGCATGTTAACATTTTGTCCTGAATAAGTTTGAATCCAGGAGAGGGCTAAAAACTGGGAGACTGAGGAGCATAAAAATTGTCACTTTCTGGAAAAGGAGACGTAAAACAAGATTTAAGGTAAGTTTTTTTCCAACTTACTTGTGGTACAGGCAGTGCCAGGTTTTCAGCCACCTCTCTGGGCTCCACCAGTCGGTAGAACTCATCCTCCAGCTCCTGGAGCTTCTGCTTCCTCTGGCTCACCTTCTCCCTCTCTAGCTGTTCCCGCTCTGCTCGCTCTGACACTGACATCGACACCGGGTACAACATGGGCCTTATCTCAGGGTCACTGCTGCTGTTTAGCTGGTGCTGCTGGTCGAGCCGGGGCTCAGGACTGACTTCAGCAGCCCAATCAGATCCAGCTGGATGGACTCCGTTGGTGGTGGGAGTGGTTGTTTGGTTGCCGTTGGTCACACTGGTCAAACTGGAGGCGACGTTGCTGGTAGTGCTGTTGCCGTTGGCAGAACAGCTGTGCTCCAGGCAAAAGGACTTGAAGCGCACCTCGTCATTCTCTGCCAGGATGGTTCTCATCTCCAGGCCGTGGTCGAAGGCGCATGTCACATGGAAGGCCACAATACAGGAGGGCATGGAGCACTGGCGGGGGAGAGAAAGAGATGTAGGACAGGAATGAAGGGAAAAAGAATTTAGAGAATCACCAAGAAAGTTTTTTTCTTTCTTTCTTAATTTCATTTTTTTGAGTGACTTAACTCTTACTCTCTCTCAGAAAGAAACACATTTCTCTTCAATTCCTCAGACAATTTGTGACAACTATTTGTTTTAAAGTGTCATTCTTGGTCCATTTCTCGTGTTATCAGGGTTCCAATAGATGTGCAGCAAAGCGGAAAGACAAGCCAAGTCACAACAAACAGGGTTCACCCATTTGTGCTGACATTTGGTACGTCTATCTCTCTCTTTCTGTGTGTGCGCGTGTGTGAGAGAGAGGGAGTGCATGTGTATGCGTTTCTCAGTGCTATCCATTACAGATCATACTAAGAGGCAGCCTCCTGCTGAGTCCCTCCAGGCGTGGTGTGATTTTGTGAGTCAGTGTGTGAGTGAGCTCTTGTGGCTAGGTGCTGTTGTCACTGCGTGCATGTACATTCACATTGAATGTGGTTATTATGGGTAAGCGTGTGTGTGAGTGTGTAGGTTTGGATTTGTACTTTTCAGAACAGATCAGCCCTGTGACTCTTCTCACAGTGTTGTTCATGAGTATAGTGACAAAACCATCACAAGTCCACCGTCTGTAAAACAACTTTTGTCGAACATTTTAACCAAATAAAGCTCTCCTCCCTCCATATCTCCATGCTTGTTTTTCCTTCTTCTTCTTCATCTTATTAAACCGTAGCCCTCTGCAACCATGGAAGGGACACATTTGTGTACTTTTAAAAATAATGTAGGAGAGGTTAACCTTAGACTGAAAAATAAGTATGGGTTTGTTGTGTTTTTTTTTTTTTTTTTGCACATTATGGCTGTGATAGTTGCAGCGGCTGTGGGTTTGAATCCAATCTTGGCCCTTTGCTGCATGTCATCCCCTACTCTTTTCTCCTAACATTTCCTGTCTTCAGTTGTTCTATCAAATAAAGGCAAAAAGATTCATCCATTATTCTTTGACAAACGACAGCAGGATTTCAAGTGGAGTGTGTTTTTTGCTTTTTTACCAAATTCAGACAATGAAAACCTTCAAACACAATAAACCTTCTTTTTTTTTTTTGACAAGACTACCCACAAAACGGGTTCAAACAAATATACTGAGCTTACACCTGCACTTGGCTGTACACATTTCTTGATAAAGGTATTTCAAACTTCAAAGAACTACAAGGTCACTTTAAAAAAAAAAAAGTTCATTAGTTTAATTCTTAGAAGTTTGATAAAAAAGCACACTGACAGTAGATCCAGAAACCCCTCTTGACTCAACGTTTAAAATGTGAATATCATTTAGTTTTCTACTCTTCTGACTAAGAATATTATTCATATCATTTTATCTTCTTTATTTATCAACTAGTCAGACACTGAGAATTATTGGTCTCAAAACCAACAACACCTGGAGACCCCTGCTAAGCCATATTAGACAACAACAAAAAGGCCACTGAACAACAGATATTGAGGACTTAAGTCATTTCAAAGCTTTTTTCACACCTCCAAATATCTTTTTTTCGGCAGAACTCAAGACCTTAAAACAACATGCTTTTGGAGTGAGACAGTCCTTAAAAAAATCTTTTCATTTCTTTACTTGTCAAGTGAAGAAATCCTGATGAAATCATGGGGTTTTTCTATTTGACAGCACTGCTAGAGCACGTCTGTGTCAATATTCACCACATATTTTCCTGACAGTGCGAAGTGTTGTTCCATGAGTGCAGAGAGATCCTGACACCTGAGGAATATTGATGATTCGTGCTGCTATATCAGATGTTTTTCAAACGTTTGATTATCAAACCTAACATCAAGGATTTTCATGCCCAGTTGGAGTGACCACTGCTTTTCTAAGGGATTGACTGGGTTCATTCCCTGAACATTTTCAATTTATATTGGCTACAGAATAATTTGTATTCACCTGCTGTCCTGTGTTAGTGCAAAGCAAATGGAATAAATACCTAAAAAAGGGTTCCATGCTCCTTTGAAAACTGTCATGAAGAATCTTTAATGAGCAGAGTGTGTCACTGGATAACACTTTATCATTTTTAACAAAAACGTACAGGCTTGACTGGTTGACCTTCCTATTGCACCTTCCTTTTCAAACAGGCTCTAATCACTAGTCCCATTATTTAGGTGTGAACACTATTAGGGAGGAAATTCAAGCGCAAAGGGACTCAACATGTGTCATTAGCCAAACGAAAGCTCGTCATCGCCAAATCACCAAAAGATGAAAGTAACTCAGGGCAATTTGGCTTTAAAAAGTGGTCGGCGGGGGTGTCTGATTGGATGTGAGCTATCTGATTAACAGTTCCAAAAGTTAACACAGACAGGCATTACAACTCACACTTTTTGCCTTCAAATGAGTGACGATGGTGACTGATAATGAGACTTTTTTTGTTATACAAAATGCTGAAATTAAGTTCCCTATTTTGAGGCTTTCCTATTCCTCAACTTCTCAACTTTACACAGACAGAAAGCTGATGTTAGCTGCCTCCAGCAAGCTACAGAAACTCTCTCCCTGTGAGTGATTCTGTTGAAGGACTCCCTGTTAATCTACAACATCAATACTGTGACAACGAACACCTGTATTGCTGCACAAACTAGCATCTGAGCACACTTTTACACATACACATTAATGTAATTCCAGGCAACATGTGAATACTGCACATACACATAATGGCACACAGATGAAGTGTAGGACTTTATATATCTACCACAAGGACATTTTAAAGCTGAGCAGTTCTCAGGCTAATAGCTGTAAAGTAGGTTCGTGTTCTGTTCGCATACTCGGCAGTACGTTAAAGAGGTACGGGGATCAAACTGATCCACCTGCAACCACGAGGCCTCCAATGATCCATAATAGCTCTACTGTGTGTTTACAGTATGAAGGTTTACTTACAGTATATGTGTTGGAGTACTTTTCAGCATGTGATCTAATCTTTCTATTTGTGAGGGTAGTGAACTTTGATGATACACTCTCACACACAATGAAATCTTCCAGGAATTTTCTTGTTTCCATGCCAGAAACAAATCTTGTAGTTTATCATTCTCCTCAAAGGAAATTGTGTCTTAGCATTCTGATTATTTGAAGTGCTAATCTTTTGAGCACAAGCAAGGTTCAAGGTTAAAATGCAACTAAAATTAGAAATATACACGTATGAGTTTTAAGGGACACTTTTAGCATAAAACAAGACATACTACATGATTGATTTAGATTCATACAACTTCATTTATACCAAAGGGAAGTTCAGTTTTTACAGTCTATACAGCCAGCATGAAGAGAAGTGATTCTGTGTCGCACCTGTATGCATGTTCCTGTGTGTTCTCGACACAGGCTACAAGACAGAGCCCAGCGGCTGGCGGGGATGTGGGACACCTTGGTAATGGGCTCCATCTTCTCTGGGCAGCCTATACTCACCTACAACAAACACAGAACAGGGAGAAACAAATCCATGTCATACAGAGTACCAACTTTTATGCGAAATCAACAGTGTGAAAATGAATGCGATGCATTTTGTTTTTTGTGATGACAAGATTTGAACACATCAACATTGACTGAAAACAGTTACATATTCTTTTCACTAGACAAAAAAAATAATTGGAAACATTTTTCTTGAGACCTTAGATGCTTGTAATGGCCATCATCACCATACAACAAACAATAATTTAATCAAATTTGAAATTGTCAGTGAAAATAGCAGGTGCATTCCAATTTCTTGCTGGAGATCAAGATTCATCAGTCTTTTCATTTGAATAAAAACTCAGATTTAACATCAATAAAGTAGCATCTTTATTCAAAACGTCATTAGTCTCTACCAAATACAAAGCCTGTACCATGAATCTGACAGTGTATCCTTGGACCCATAGCAGGGACACCTGTGTTCCTTTGAAAAACATTTTTGTAAAGTACAGAGTGACTGATTCTCTCTTCAGCACTCCTTTGGCCCCCAAACTTGTTCCACCAATGAAAACCACAGAGTCATTGACCTGTGCCAACCAGCCATGCAGAATAGAGTGGAGAGCACTCATCACCAAAGTGCCATTCCTTCCTTCCTTCCTCTGCTGCCTCCCCCCCACCTCCTCCCCGCCCCATTCTACCTCTTTCAAATTAACTTATTCTCATATTTTCAGCTTGCCTCTCCTTCCCCGTCCTTCACGCTCACATCAACTAGCTGACAACTGATATCCGCAGGTCATGCCCCTCCTTCCCTTCATCTATCAACTCATCCTTCTATCTATCTGATTTTCCTTTTTCTTCTCCGTTCATCTGCTCATTCACTGAATAAACTCGACACGGCCTCTGCGCTTTCTTTACCATTGATGCTTTTTGTGATGCGCACTCACTTGGAGTAAGGGTAAATTTTCACTCCATTGAGGACGTCAATAGAGAGTGGCATTCAGACAATGATGCCACAGCTGCCACCATCAATGTTCTCGTCTTATATAGAGCGGACATACAAAGCAATCAATGGCAAAAAGGATTTACAGTTTTTGAATGTTGTGGTTAATTTATTGGACTGTTCTTGACCCTGAAACTCAAACATGCAGCACAAATTGTATCCAGGGAGCAACAAAAACAACACGCTGCACATACATGTTGTCTAGGGATGTTTCTGCAAGACAAACGTAATAGAAGATGTAACACAGAAAACTGAGGTGAAAAGTAAAGAGAGGAAAATAGAGAAACCTGCTCAGTGTGAGCATCGTTCTTACCCTGCCCACTCGATTTCACACTATTACCTGCTGCATTCACTCTCATTGGGCTTACCCGAAGTTCATGCCGACTTTTTTAACCAGCCCAGGGGACTGGCAGGAAAGAGTCTGCATAAAGTCAAGGTGAACAGATTTGGTTTGTTTGTGTTCACACATGCACACCTCTTGGCAAATTGTTGGGAAATTTGCATTTGAAAGGAGCGTTTTTAAGTTTTAACAAAAAATATGAAAGTTAGGGCTTTAGTTTTCTATTTGATGTGTGTGTGTGTGTGTGTGTGTGTGCGTGCGCACATGCAGGCCTGAAGTTCATCCTGTCCCAGATGATCAAATTGTAGCCCCAATTACTTCACATTTCAAAGCCTGTTGATGGAAAAACTGACAAAATTTCAATTCACTTCAGTGGAAACGGGGAGCAATCACTGTGTTTAAAGAAAAATCATTTTGAAAGAAGGCCTCCGATTATTTGAGTGTGTTTGTGTGTCTGGTGAGTGTGTGGTGAAAAGCCATTAAAAGAGAGACCTCTCTAGGGGCAGAAGGCAGCTACAAGCACTGCAGGGGGGCTGTACCATTTGAAGGCTGGTGGTGTGTTCATGCCCACAAACACACACACACAAACACACAAAACATGCATCCTATTCAGCACTCTCTATTAATGACACTTTCACATACAGAGCCTGCTTTCTGGAAGTTTCCACTTCCATCATATTCAGTCGAAATCTACAAACCTGTGTCGTATCTGTGTGTGTTTATTTTACCAGGCGTCAGCTATTAACACATCTCCAGCTCATGCAGATACACACAAGCACATTTTTGCAAGCAAACACACACACAAACACAAGAGAACACACAGCACAGACATGCAAATTATCTTTTCTTCTCTCCACGGTAGGAGGAGAAAACAAAAGCGAACGGAGCAACGAAAACAATTAGCCCAATCAAGGGTGACAGAAGGCAATTAGAAGTAAAAGGTTTGAGCTGCCAAAAGCTGCTCTATTCCTGCAGAATCTGCTGCTGGAGTGTGTTGTTGAATAGGCTGAAGACACATGACTGATTGCCTTAACAGTTTAAAGGTGTGTACAAAGTTTAAAATAAACACATGAGTCCCTGAACCTCTGAATAGAGCGGCTGCTTTAAATCTGTTTCGAGCTTCCAGGTGAGAGATGTTTCCAAAAGATATCATCAAGGCACATCAAGTCCAAATGAGCTGCTGCTTTGCTCTATGCTAAACAAACGGTGCAAATCAAGTCACATTTTCTGCAGACATTTTAAGAGGCAGGTCTTGACTGAAGGAGCAACATGAAGTGTTGAAGCATTTACTGTAAACAAAGAAATGCAGGTGGTACCAAACCGACAGGTGTGAGGGACTCTCAAAGTCTAGGCAACATTTCCCCGTTAATGCTGGAGTTTCAGAGTTTGTCAAGTGCACTTGCCTGCTGTATAAGCCATGAAAGAGTTTTGGGTGGCTGTAATTACTCTTCCTCTTCATACTTACTGTGAAGCTATATCGTCATCGAGGGGCTACGCTATAAGTTGTAGCATCTGTGTGCGCCGCGTTCTGTCTGCGCCATTGTTTTGCAGGACCCGGCCAAGAGCAGCTGGGTTTGTGAGTTCAAAAGAGTGCACGGGAATAAAGACAACAACACACACATACACACCAGGTCAATGCCTTTCCCAGGTTGATATGCTGTTCATTTGGTGCCTGCTTTTGACGTTATGTTGATATAGTGTTGTGATATATGATCGTCAGTCTGTACAGGGTGTTTTATTCTGAAATTGACTGGATGCTCGTTGCATTCTTGTGTCTGACTTTCTGTCCTGGTCGATCTGCTCTGTTGACACATGCTCTGTTCAAAAAAAGAAGAATCTGCTCGTATTTCATGTGGAGCAGAGAGGAGTTGTACTTCTGGGACACATCAGCGCAAGAGCAATGACTCCTTACTTCCCGATCCACTGCTGAAAAGCGTTTGAAGTTCAGCTAATACAAGGCTTTGCAAATATGGCGCATCAGACAAGTGGAAAAATGGGACTAAGTATACGAGGGCCTTTATGTAAAATGAGCCGATAGATATAAAATAATTAATAGTCCTGGATGCGGAATGCGCATGCAAAGGGCTCAGAAATTTGTGCTACACTACTTTTCTATTATATCAAAATCAAGTAGTTTTCCAACATGGCTGCTCTCGGCCATATTGCAGTGTAGTCATTCTTTTCTGGTTACATATGCATGTGTAATATGTGGACAAAACAACTACACAGGACTGTCATGAAGAAGAAAAGACTTTGATTCAGCTGTGACTTTCCTGAAACCATATACTGTACAGTCCTTGACCAAATTGTGTAATATTCTGTGAAGTGTATTTTGTATAATGGAGATTTTCTTCTTGTAATTGTACTGGGAAGGCATCCCTTCACGGCAAGTTTAGAGAGAAAATATGAATACAGTGGTGCTCCATTACTCATTGACCAAAAAGTAGGGATGACCCGATACTGATGTACTCACATTCGTACTCGTAAAACTACACGGATACAAAGCGCCTCTTTTCAGTTGAGCGGGTAGGCGGAGAGAAGCGAGATGTCAGCGGTGTGGAGATATTTCAGCGTAAACGATGACGACAAAAGAACAGTGCAGACTGCAAACTGGGGATGCTAGACTCCCCAGCCTCCCGTGCGTGGCTCACACGCTACAGCTAGCTGTTAACGAAGGACTTTTGGCTCAGAGGAGTGTAGCTGACGCGGTGTCAGTCGGACGTAAAATTGTTGGGCATTTTAAGCATTCGGCATTAGCCTACTCCCGCCTGGAAGACATTCAGCTGCAGCTCAACCAGCCGTGACGTGCAGACGCGCTGGAATAGCACATACTACATGCTACAGTCTCTCACCGAGCAGAAGCGGGCTCTGGGAATATTTGGCTCGAATAGGAACTCCCCGACAATCTTACGTTTGAAGAGTTAACCTTCAGAGACTTTTGACCAAAGAAACAGACGCGGACCAGGGCATTAAGTACTCGTAACGGTACTCGTATCGGTGAGTACCCAAATGTAAGTACTTGTTACTGGTACTACTTACTCGGTGCATCTCTACCAAAAAGCATCATTCCAAAATTCTTAATCAGCAGAGAGCTTCTTTGTATACCACGGTGATATGAAGCTCTAATATTCTGTTAACTTCTGGTTAGGAAATGCAGTGAACATTTATCTTTCATTAACTGTCAGTCTTTGAGTATGAGTATCACACTCTGAATGCTGGTTCTACATATTTGTTTTCTTCTCTTTGGGTTCAGGATGTCAAAAGTCAAAAGTCAAAAGCAGTGAAAATTGCAGAGGAAAAATAATCACTATGTGGCTTGTGATTAAAGCATGCTTAACACCAGAGAGTCTGTCAGGTGGGTTTCTTCTCCAACCTTTCCTGTTGTAGAAACCATAGTACAAGAAAGCCTTTTTTACATGTGTGTTTTTGTAACACTTTGTAACGCCATAGTTATATAGGACCTGAAGCCATTCAATTCTTTAAGGATTCATGGATTTTAAACTAACTACAGCTGTAAGCACTCATGTTCATTCAAACCAAAACCTGCACAAATATACGACGCTCATAGATAAAAGAGGAGGCAGGAAGATAGATGTCGATAACAACTAGCTAACACACTATGAGGCTTTTTCGAGTTGTTCATGACAAAATAATAAAGAGTGCTGTAGTCTCTCCTTGGGTCTCACCTCAGGGATCCATAAGGCACAGCTGACGTGGACCCACTTGGTTCCACTGCGGGTGGGCTTCAGGGCCCCCCCTCTCTTGGGGCAGAGCAGACATTTGGGCTGGACGCCCAGAGCGCAGGTCCGACACAGCCAGTTCCCCTGGGGTACCTTTAGGATGCCATAACACGCCTGCCGCAGAGAGTAAAGAAGAGAAAAGGTATAAAAGGTAACGTATGAATTTGAAAGATAAACATTGAGGACATTTATTTCTGAGATATAGTGATATAGCTTCCTTTACACAGAGAAACACTAACTGTAGTATGAAGCTAACTGTCACAAGAATCTGATTCATTTTTCAAAATTGTTGAAAGTTAAATATTCCTTTAAAATGTCAAAGGAGAACAGAACATTTGAAGTCTTAATGCAAAATGTAGGTATTACTAAGAGACCGTTTGAGACGTTTTGAACACTAAAATGTAAAAATGTCTTCAAGGTTTGTTATAACCAGAAAACAACTTCCCTGAGCTACAGACTGTGAAGTAAGCTTCTTTAGCAAACATTTGAAAACCTTTCAATCATTGAATGTAGACCGTAAAGCACAGCTTACATCGGCATGTTAACCAGTCAGTGTTACCTTGGAGGCAATCATTTTCTAGCAACTTCCAAGAATAACTAGCATAAATAATGTACAAAAGACATGCTGTGATGTCATTAATGTATATATACATCTTAAATATATAAAACAGGCGCTAATTAAATCGCATTATAATACCATTATTTAAGATATGTCTCTTCCAGCTCAAATTCTTTGATAAAAAAAAGTATTTCAAGCACTTTTAAAAAAATCATCTGGACCTTCTGGTCATTCCATCATCTTGGTTTTTGTCTGATTCACAATGACAAAAACCATTTTTAGAGACAGCATTATTCCAGTTGTCATGGTTATAAACTATATAACTTATAAAGTCGTTTAATTTAGTGTCTCTCATGCAAAATGAACAAAAAGCAAAACCTCCTTTCTACCGTTCGTCTCATCTTACAATCTTTAAATGTTGTGCTTACTGTTGCTAAAAAAAACACAACCCACAACAAAACCCATTCAACACACTCTTCAACAAGTGTAACACAAAACTACCCTTTGAACCTGAATTATATTGAGTAACGAAAACAGACTTTCAGAAATGATGTTGTTTCCAGAACACAGAACATTAACTTAAACCGTGACCTCCCAACATCCACCCTGTCCTAACTAACACACAGAGGTGTCCTGAATGATCTTTAGACTGTCATTATAACACATTCACTTATATTTGATAGATAAATCCAGGCCCTTAGGTTAAAAAAGAAAGATTTTGTCAGCTATAATTTATTCTTTAAATGTCTCAAAGTGCCTCTACTATGGGGAATGAGTCTTTTTAACGCCTCTTTCTTCTCCATGGTCTTACTGTAGCTTGTACGTCAGATCTAGCAAATCAGATTTATTATGTATTAAGTCAAAATATTGCTCTGCAAAGCCACTTCATTCTCAGAAGCTCTCTCAATGTTTCAGAATGCATTCATTCACAACATTTTGCAGGAGACTGAACACCTATTACTGGTATTATCTGGAAAGCTACAATACAGAGGGTGCTAACAAAGGGAGCATTGACAGGTGGAAACTAAAAGAGGCATCAAACACTCCATCCTCATTAACAGCAATTAAAGCAAGTTATTGATAAAAGAGATTTATTGATCAAGCAGTAAGCAGGGTGTGTTTAGTTTAACCTGCTAAAGGTTAGGGAGGTGGTCTTGTGAGAAAAGACACTATTCATGTATTCGCTCTAGAAAGGAAACAATTAGAGCAACAATTTCTACTTCTTTAAAAAAAAAAACTGTAGATAGACTTCAGGTACAGTGTGGGCAGGGAGCTGTAGAGTAGTGTTTTGTGACAATATGAAAACATAAGCTGCTGTGCTACTATCAAAGCTGGTTTACACAGGCCTTCATTTAGATCAGAGCTACAGATAATGGGGGAGATGATCTGTGGCACTAAATTTGATGATTTTAACTATTCTTCATTGCACAAGCTCTCTTATGTTTAACAGTCTCATGTTTAAAAATAAATACTATACATCAACAACACTACAACAGTAAGTAAACTAGCTACTTCTCAGGACTAAGCGTGGGTTTGTACTTTTCAATGACTTGTTCCTTAGCTCAGTTTTAGCATTAGCTTGTTAAATGAGAGTCTGCTGCAGAACAGCACGTCTTTCTTTCTTGTTCTTAGCTCGTTGGCTTTGAACCAACTAAGGAAGGCTGTAACTAGCTTCTGGTCATTTTAACAGCTAGCTATATGGACTAGAGATATTAACATGACGAAAGGTCTCAACTGTTAACTATAACAGTCTGAATGATAAGCTAACAATCCACACAATTCAATGTTCACTAAATGTCTTCAGAGTTCACATTTTCTGCACCTAAACATCAAAACTAGCTAGCATGCTGGCTTGCAAGTCCTAGCTTATTGTAGCTAGTTATTTATTTGTCTAAGTTATAGTCCTATAACATAACATTTGTCATACTAAGTTCCCTTATATCACAGTTTTTTAGGCATATAGTCAATGGTTACAACATTGTTTAGTTAAAATGTAAATGAAACATGTAACGACTACAGGTAGTTTACCTCTCGTGAGTTTTAGCTAAATATTACTGATGCATTAAGTTCTGGTAATTGCTTTGCTTAAACCTTTCTAATTACTGAAGGTATGAACCACATTAATGGTAAGAAAAACAACATTTTTAATACCAGGATTATTTTGTTCTTGCTAACTTTTAAGAAATTCCTCCTTTTTCAACAAAGTGAAGATCTTAAGCTACTTTGTAAAACAATTCTTGACTGAAAACTTTAGGAATTAAAAACACAAGAGACAATATTTGAAGTCAGGTGTCACAGACAGCAGGGTTTTTCTTTTTTTCACACATAAGGCACAGGTGACAGACAAACACTAGACTTAGCCTGCAGGTGGAGGTAACTATTTATACCCAGTATGAGAACAGCAGGAGAGCAGAGGCACTCCGATCACACTCAAGGTGTTAGTGCCGACAAGGCAGACAAACAATTAACACTGTGTGAAAGTGTAACAAATAAATAGAGCCCCTAAAGCTTCAGGTGTTTCAAGCCATTTTTCAAGGCTCTGATTTCACTACTGAATAAGGACTTCAGAAGATCAAATATATGAGCACCAGATTCAAGGCAGATCTGAGGAAAATGGCAACGGCATTCTATTGAGTTTTGTTTAAAACATTTAAAGTCCTAAAAGAATAACTGATAATCAAAGTATGGTAACAGGATCGCAATGGAAAGCCCCTTAACCCCTTCATTCCTGACCTGATGAACACAGACGTTGCACTTGTCACAGAAAACCATCTCGTTCCCGTCCTCTCCCTCTGGCGAGCGGCAGACGTCACACACCACATCCTCGTCGTACTCGATGCCCAAACCTTCCTCTGCCTCGATGGCCTGCCGCATCTTCTCGTCACACACACTCTCCAGCTCGACCAGAACACTCTCCATTGTCAGCTCATCCAGCTCTGGTAACGCTGTGGGTGAGAAGACAGATAAATTGACTGGGTTAGTTTTTGTTGATCTTTGCATCTGGACCTCTTGTAAGGCATGAAGGACTGGGATTATAGTACTGTTCTGGTCTAAGGCACATTTTTGTTGCTTTACACATTATATTTTTTTTTTCAAGATAGAACATTTTTGTTTTGGATTCTTTTCTGTTGTTGTAATAACTGAAAATGTGTTCAGCGCAATGGTTGAGACAGAGATACATTTGAGAAAAAACTGAGCCTGAGCAATTAAACAGAGAGTTCAGCAACAGGGTCAGCACGGAGAGGTTTCTTTTACGTCTTGTTACAGACAAGAAAAACAGTAACTGGAAAGCTGCTTGTAAGAAACTCAGACTGCGTGAGCCAATGTAACAAATGGCAGTTATTTTTGGCTGGAACACCGTCTCGCACTTTAATTGGAAATGTACACAGCTTTTCTTTGCAAGAACACCTCACACAGGTCACTGTCTGTTTTCTTTGGGACAGCTTTGGATAAAATGTGCTGAAAATTAGCTGCAGGATGTGGGAGTATGTGGAGCCGCAGACTCTTCTAACCATAAAAAAAGAAGAGACATTCTGCATGAGCTCTGTTACTACAAGCCAGTTCACGAGAACAGCCAAAAACGACAACATTTACCAGTTCTTGCCAGCAGCTCCGTTCACCTCATCAATAAGTGTTGGCATTAGCATACCTTCTTCATTTGCATCTCAAAGAAATGCCTTGCTCTAAGGATGGTTAATAGATAATGAGAACGGATTTATCTGGCAACTGCAAGCTCTCTGCCTCATAAAAAAAAAAGATTTTTGAGCTACAATGAAAGCAAAGTGTCTGGTTTTCAGGACGGTAGCAGACAGATGTGGCGAACTATTATCTCATTACACGCAACAGAAATTCCATGATTACAAAAATTGGTAACAGCGAGGCATTAAATCAAGAGGGCTTTTTCTGAAATGAAGATTATTTGTGTTCAAAGCAGGAAAAAACATTTGAGATCATATTATTCAGAGACTTTAATATAGCAAAATGTTAATTGTCTGCTGGAAAAGAAAATCATCTCAAATCAAATAACAATTTGCATCAACTGGTTCTGAGCAGGTCGACTGGTAATGGTGCAAAGTGCAGTTCTTACAGTGTTTGAAGTTTAGGCTACGCTTTATCCCTGTAACAGCAAGTCAACTTACTAAAGTGGTATTGGCCAATGAATGATCAGACAGAAAAAGGTCCTCTCAGATTATTTCTAGATATTGCTGGTTAACATAAATTGATGTCACTATAATTTCCTGTGATACTGGAATCATTTGGATGAGACATAAAGCAAGCTTCCTTTTCTTCTTTGGTTGTCTCGTGGTTGGTTTACAACAGATTTTAAACTGTATTAACATCACTTCTTAAATAAGAGTGTGGATCAAAATGGTTCAGTGAGAGGTGCCGGTGGTCTAGTGGTTAGTTCACACGCCCAATGTACAGAGGCTGTAATCATCTAGCATTTGGTCCTGGTTTGAACCCGACCTGTGGCTCCTTTCCCACATGTCATTCCCAACTCTCGTTCCCTAATTTCCAACTCGATCTACTGTCCTGTCTCTCTAATGAAGACATTAAAAGGCCAAAAATAGGGAGCCGTACAGCCTAGCAGTTATGTTGCACTCCACCATGAACGGATGCTATAGTCCTCATTGCAGTGTTGTGGGCTCGAATCTGGCCTCGCCTCGCCCCTCCCACCACCACCAAATAAATAAATACAATTGGCTGATCAATTTCATGGACTTAATTTTCTTTATTTTATCTTATTACATTTAGTACATCAACTCTCTTTGCAAAAAAATCTCAAGTGAACACAACACTACATACATTTTTATCTCTATGAACTTCCTCCAAATACTGCCTTAACTATTTAATCTGCTTGTTTACATCCAGGTAGTAGAGTGGGAAATTAAGAGAGAAGCGATCAACCAGAGCTAAAGCCAGTCAATGGCTACAGCCCCAGTCTGGTTATTTTTAAGTGTTCAAGTGTTTTGATTATTTTGCAGTTCACATAAAGGAATTCTTCATGACACATACTCTAAGTATTAGTAAATAAATAAAAACAGTATATAAACCTCTACTGTCTTGGAAGATTATTTATTGACTTATTTGGAGGTTTCAGGACTCAGTTGGGAGATTCTTCTTAAGTGGAGCTGAGCGTCCTGTGTATCTATTATTTATGTCACTCAATTCCTTCCCAGCCCAAAATAAAAACAACACTTCATTTACTGAGCGTATAAGTGCCAACCCAGTGAAGCCTCAGTTTCACATTACAAGGAAGATCTTAGACGCACGCAAAATCCCTTTTCCTGTTACACTTGTACATTTTTTCTGGACATCTTACGGCAAAGTTATCATCTAAGTCAACGCCTGCTGCTGTTGTAACATGTTAGTTATGAATTTGGCAATAATGAAGCACTCAAAAGATAAAAGCATGTGATTGTATCTGATGTCGGTATGGAGGCTGCTTTTGAAGAAGCCGAGGAATAGGGAAGTAGAGTTAGTTAGATATTAACCTGCTGTGACATTTACGTCAGAAACTGAAAACACACACACACACACACACACACACACACACACACACACACACACACACACACACACACACACACACACACACACACACACACACACTGGTCACACATTCTTCAAGGTGTGTGTATGTGTCTGCACCATGCACTCTGTTTTTTCAGTTCACTCTCACTGAATCAACTCTATTTATTTTCTTTATCTACGTTTCCTTGTTTGTTCGTGTGACAGCTGTGCGCACATGCACATTAATCATTACCTGGATGTGCCCATGACTGCACTTATCTCCATGAAAGCAACAAACACTTGCAGACACAGGGACACAAACATACACAAATCAAACCAGACTTTCATGTGTTCTACTGCTTCTATTCTGCACATTATGCAGGTCATCCATTTGTTCATGCACCTTTTAAACGTATTTTCTAATGAAATAAAAGAAGCTTCCCTTTCAAACATATAGACACAGAAACAGATAAAACACACCCAAGCCAAAGAGAAACCCATAAAGTACACTTTTATTAGATTTCTCTGTTTTATTGCTTTTTTCTTCACATTATCCAAGTTATCCATGTCTTTATATCCTTTTTCAGAAGTGAAGGCAACAAAGCATCCCTAAAACACACACACTAACACACTTACACATATACACAGACTTGACTTGTTGCCTTAGTGTTTCCTCTTTTAAGACAGACTGCATGTTTTCTGGTGTTGCTGCTCTCAATGACTACTTTTCTATCATATATCCTATAACTTAAAAATCTGAAAATCTAACTAACTCCATCTCTTAATCCATTAAAAAAACAAATAAGCAAGTACTAAGCATGACAAGTTTCCTCAGTGATACAAGGTATGAGTACTCAATCACTAATTATTGGCAATATAACTCCAGATATGTTTCACTTCTCGCACGCCCACAAACGCTTTGTTTAAGGCTTGAAGAGTTCTACTCACTTAGTGTTACATGTGCAATGAAGATTTCGGGGTTCGTCTAACTAAATATACTTAGTACAATACTTAAACTAACAACTAGGCCACCGACGCCTCGCTAAGTATGCATTCAAAATCCAAATCTAAGGCTAAGGGCTAACATAAAATATCCTAGCCTGACAAAACCGATCAAATGTCTGTTTGCTCTAACAATGAAAGTTATGAGAAACAACCATAGACTGTAAATATTACTGGACGAACCCTGACCCGTCTGTGACATAGGCAGAAAATGAGTCCAATCGACGGCCGCATCCATATTGGATTTGCAGTCTCAACCTAACTTCGGATCAACCTAGCAACAGCAGTAAGGCGGGACCGGCGGGACTCGACGTTAGCAGTCCACTTGACAGCATAGCTAACAGCTAGGCTGCTATCATCAACTATTCCTGCTCGTCCTGAGAAAACTCTATAAACAGTAAGTTAACATTTAACTTTTCTACAACAGTTAAAACGAATTATATTCAACCCAAATATTTAATTAAAGTCTTAAAACTACACTTTTTTAAATATACGATCATGGTTATTAGTTATTTGTTAGAGAAGTTAGACTTTGTCAGTGTCAACAGAGAAATACATTAACAAAGTTTTATCCATAAACTGTAAATAAATATGAGACATCCAGAAGAAATCAATATTACAAAGCATACAGTTCATGTCACTGTTCTGACAAAAAGAGGAATGTCTGTGTTTTATATTTACTGATGTCAACAGCGATGAGGTGAACATGACAACTGAAAAATAATTATTTAGTATTTATTATAAGACATTTGTTTTCTATTGAACCCCGTGAAGTCATGGAGTCTGTGGACAGTGTCAGCTTCACAACAAAAACTAAGTATTAGAAAAAATAGTGTTTAAGACTGGCATCTATTATGATGAGTTGCAGCTACCTTGTTCAATATTATTCCTGCAGATGTGGCTAATAACAAAAAAACACCCTGAGCTGTCACATGTAGTTAACTGTACATTTTGTCTTGTCTGAGGCATTAATTGAACACCTTTGTATTTCTCCTATAGACACAGTGTGGATTATTGGTGACTTGTCCGTCGAGGTGCCCAGAGAGCTGCAGAGACTGAGTAAGAAACCTGAGCTTCAACGACATCTGCATTTGTTGGTTCTTCTGGGGTGGACTTCAGTTGCTTCTCTTCAACAGCTCGCTGTGAGGGAGGTCTCCCCCGGATGGCCTGAGTGATGACACCTACAGGCTGAGAGCTGAGACGGGTTTTAAGCCTTTTGACAAGCCGTTACACCGCACCCAACTGTCAAGCTGAAGCTACACGCCTTATTGTGAATAACTCTTATCCTTCATCAAAACATTCATCCCCCCGTACAGTGTGTGTCCATCGAGACATGAGCTAATCACACCTATTTGTTTGTTTTGTACCAAGCTGTAAACATGTTAATCTCTGCTGTAAAAACAGACTTTTTTTAATGTTGTTTTTCAGATTAAATAAATATTTCTATATAAATTCACTCCTTTATGTCTACTTATGAGTATACATTTCAGATTAATGCTCAACTCAATAGCTTAGGGAAGGAAGTCTACTTTTACACAACTTCTTATTCTTTTGATAAATACTAATGTAGTTCATTTCTGAAAGTGGGATGGAACAGAGTCATTGCAAAAATATGCCCTTAAACACAGCCCCATTTTAAATCAAGATACATGGAGAGTAAATAAGATCAATAACTGGTGAATAAAAACACAGTTAAAAATGATTTAGAAATGTAGTCTTCCCTGATCAATATCACATAATATCAACTTCTCCCATCTAAACTGGACAAAGGGTTTTAAAATGGGAAGAAAATAGTTTGATTGCAAATTGTTTGGAGGAGCTCTAGTTTTATTTGAACAGCATGAATACAGTCTTCCAAGGTGCAAACCCTCCTCCTCCTCCTGAAGCCTGTGGAGCTCCTTCATGTACTGCTGTCTTATCTGCTGGCCATCTTCTCTCAGCAGAACTTTGACTGTTGAAATGTCATTCAGAAGAAGCTTGAGCATGTGACATGGATCCAGGAGAACATGGACTTTTAGTGAGGGGTCTTCAGGATGGCAAAGAAAGAGAGAAAATATCAGTTATTCATTAAATCATTTTGTTTGTTCTCATCTATTTTTCTGTATTCATCTGTGTGTAAGAGCACATTTATAAATTCAACAGTGTACTACCCAGACAACAAAGGTACAGTATTCAGGTAATCAACATCTATTCAAAGTTAAGAAGACAAACATTATTGTAATCGTGCTGTTTTCAGCTCTCTCACTCACACAATGATATTCCACATCAAATTGTCTCAGATTTTGTGAGGAAAAATTAAGCAGTTTATTGTGGATAGTACTTCATCTTTACATGAAACAAATATAACCTGAATTATTTAAATCATTAACAGTCTCTGTGCTTTAGTACAGAACATACAGTAACTCATTTATTATTAACATGAGCTCAGTACATGGCTGTATTCTTCAAACTATTTATTATACTTTATATCTATGTGCTTTAAATCTTATTTTCATTCCACATGTTATTTATATTTTATATTTCTACTGCTATATTCTGTGTATGAGTTCAGTGAAAATTAATATGGTTATTAATATAGTTCTTAATGGTTACAGAGGCTCTTACAAAGTGATTTTTGTTAACAGTTTGCTCAAATCTTAAGACACTACATCAACCATGTAACGTTAATGTCATCCTCTATAACCTACACAGCACATTAGGTTCAGTTTAGTTTATGTTACTGACGGATAATTACTACACAAAGTTTGTTTTTTTAATGTCCACATTTATGTGGAGTATAACATTCATCATAACGTCAGATAACCACCGAGATGAACCTTTAGCTTCTAACATCACACAAACTCACTATTTTCAACAACAACATCTTAACAAACATTTCTAAACCATTGACCGTAAATAATGTAAATAATGAGCTACACAGTTAGCCGACTGGTTTACAAGCTAACGCTAAACAAGCTAGGTCCGTAAATATAAACACGAGTAAGCAGTAAATATAACACTACTATATCACTTACCGAAAAAAACTGAAGCATCAACTTGGTGGATGGTCTGTTAACCGCACAGCAAGCCATGTATGTTGTCAGATATGTGTTAAACAAACTCTCCAAACGAAGTAAGAAAGAGGAGAAATCAGACGGATCAAGCTGTTAGCCTCCTGACCTGCTGACCTGACAGACAGATGCAGCGCGCAGAGCTGTCAATCAAATCTGACACAACCAAATATGGGCATAGTCGTTTTCCTTAATAGAATAAAATCCGATGAGTTATAAAAAAATTCACCCCCCCCACAGTGTGAGGAGAAGGGGCCGTCAACTTCTCAGATACATCTCGTTTTTTGAACCAGGCTGTAAACATGTTGATTCCTGTGGTAAAAACGGGCTTTTTTGGCTGTGGGCTTATGGCACTTCCGGCGCTTCTGCAGCCAGCCTCAAGCGGAACCTCGAGGAACTGCAGTTTTTTGTACTTCCGCATAGGCTTCATTTTTCGAGACCGGAGGTTGCCCCTTGGAAACAACCCACCTCTGAGTCTGTGTGTGTGTGTGTGTGTGTGTGTGTGTGTGTGTGTGTGTGTGTTGTGTGTGTGTGTGTGTGTGTGTGTGTGTGTGTGTGTGTGTGTGTGTGTGTGTGTGTGTGTGTGTGTGTGTTTAGATTTAAGGAAAATGTGTGTCCCAGAAATAAGAGCTGAAACCCCGAAGGGATTTATAAACACAATTACAGCTCTTTATCTGAAAGGAGCTGATCAGATATGGAATTCAATGGAGGAGATGGGAGAGAGGTTTGGGATAAGCTCCGGTCACCATGGCAAATGGAGGATGGAACAAAGCAGAGGAGAGAAAGGTGACACAAAAGTGGAAAAGAGAGGGATCGGAGAAGAGAGAGTAAGAAGATAATGATGAAAGAAAGACAGAAAGAAAGAAACAACAACATATTGAGAGTGAGGAAAAGGGAAGAAAGACAAATGTAACTTCCTGTCAAGTTGTAGTTATTCAGATCATCTGCAATTTCAGGAACCAAACTATGACATTTTTAGACTTTTATAAATGGGAGTTTCAGGTTGAAATTAAATTGTCCTGGAAACGACTGCAGATTTTCTGTTGAATCATATCTAAAAACCTTTCTTAGCAAAAATCACATTATCATCAAAAAGGCACAATTTCACCCCAATATTGTGAGGATAGTCCGAGAGTAGTTAGAGTAGCACCTACACCTTGTATAATACCTACACCTATAATACTTTTGACTGAGTGCAGGTGGCAGCCATGATCAACTTCAGACACTTCCAAAGATTCCGTTGAGTCCCAACATTAACAGAGATTTAGCGCCAGTTTCATGATTGTAATCAGGCAGGGAGGCTGTGTCTTCTGTTTGCACTCACCCATCTGTCTGAACTCGTGGTTCACCAGCTCCAGCCAGGCAACATCCAGGTCATCCAGGTCGTAGCAGCTGTAGCGCTGGGTGGGGGGATGCTGGGTAACGCCCTCCCTGTCCTGCCTGTTGTTGGACAGCCCACCTGCCGACTCTGGAGGCAACCTGGAACAAACACAAAGACACATGCAAAGTTAATGCATGCATGCATGTATAAAATAGATGTTGTGGGGGCGTCGGTAGCATAGTAATAGTACACGGGCCGTATGTACAGAGGCTGTAGTCCCCCAAGTTTACGGCCTGGGTTTGAATCCAACCAGTGGCTCCTTTCCAACATGTAATTCTCCACTCTGTCTATCCCAGATTTATGACTCTATCTACTGTCCTATCTCTACATGAAGCCCAAAAATAATAAATGTTCCTAACAACTAATTTCCTACTCAATTTAACACAAAAATGAAATTCAATTTAACTGACTTGTCTGAAGATAAGATAAGAGAACATGGAGAAAAAAGTTGAAATGGACGACATATTATTGAAATTATTTTGCGGGTAAAAGATGTAGTATTGTTTTGCCGACTCTAAAATGAGCAGTTCTGACAACTCTGCGTCTTACTTGCTAACTCGACTCTTTATTTAAACTCATTGCAAAAATATTGCATTGCATTTTTTATTTAAACTGCTTAATCATAGAGACCTGATAAAATGCTTTCCTTCACATGGAAATCATTAAATCATGAAATAATCACTGTACGTGCAGAAGATGCTCTGTGACAAACCACAACACCAGGCTCTTCCCATAAGACATGCATTACCAAGAAGCCCTTCACATGTCTGAAACGCTCCTTAATAGTCGGGTCCTGACCTAATGTCTCCAGAAAGACTGAGTCCCAGTTTCACAAATGGCAAAAGAAAAAAGAGTGTAATCAAAACAATGACATATCCAGTGGTTGTAGGCATTAGTGACAGAAAGCTCCTCCAGGCAGTGTCTGGTCCACTGGAGCCTCGGGCCTCAATGTCTCTCTGTCAACAACAGCAGGAAATGGGGTCAAGATCTCTGCTCGACCCACTGGGAAGCAATAAAGACTCAAGCACTACCCATGCACACAAACAAGCACAAACACTCAGACGCACAGGCCCCCATGTAACATTTGGATGGGTAAACCCAGTCTTCATGAAATTGAAATCAACAACAGTGCTATACCGCAGATGTTTAACTCTAAATGGATAAATCAATGAGTAAAAATAATGACCATTGCGGTGAAACTGCAGTTTTTTCTTGCACATGAAGTAAATGAGGGGTAAATGCCAACTTCCCCAAAAGTGGATAAATGAAATGTTTGTTTTGATAAAGATGAGTGCAAGCGAGGTGCATAAAAGTGAAAGTTAGAATGAACTCCATGTTATAAGGGTTAGTCCACTAAACCTCATCACCCTCGCTGGTCAGTGCTAGAGTTACTAGTCGGTAAAACAATTACTAGTAAATATTCTGGCCCACAATGCAGTTCAAATGTTATGCTCAAACTACAACATAGACAACCACCACCAGACTGGGGCTGTAGCCATTGACTGGCTTTAGCTCTGGTTGATCGCTTCTCTCTTAATTTCCCACTCTACTACCTGGATGTAAACAAGCAGATTAAATAGTTAAGGCAGTATTTGGAGGAAGCTCATAGAGATAAAAATTTATGTAGGCTGTGTCAGGTTAAACTGGACTATCGACCAGCAATGTGTAACCATATTAATGTTGACGGGAGAACAGAAGGCTGGCAGTGCGATCATAATACACGTCTGCCACACTCGGCAAACCAAATAACATTGTTTATCTGCAGACAATTTAAATAAATTGTGCTGAATTTTAGACAGTTTCTTACTTTTAGACCAGACGTTTAGTCTGAATTTAAATTTCTGTTTAAACAACTAGGAAATTAGTCTGGTAGAAAAATCACAATTAACTGCTGATTCATTGATAAACAGAATAATCCTCAAACTGCCAGCTTTATCAAATGATAGATTGTCAACATTATCCATATTGTTTAACAGAGAAAAAGAGCATGAGCACATATTTTTCCATAATGCCCAGCCTTCGAATAAATAAAAAATGCACAAAACAAGTTGGACCTAAGAAAAAAAAAGGGAGGGAGACACCACGACTGGAGTAATCAGACACACTGTACAGATCACACACACTCACAGTTTCTCCAAAACAGCTCAGTGTTATGCACAGTGACACACACACACCCCTGTGAATCACACGCTCGTCTGTTAGAGTAGTGACCTTTGTGTGAAAGGTGAAGTGTTCTAGTGATCACAACAACAACAACAAAAAAACAACCTCTGGCTCTCTGTTTAGCTTCAGTCTACAGGGACCTTATTATCACAGTGCTGTCATTATCATCATCATCATCCTCCTCCTCCTCAGTCTCTGCCATGGCCCTCACATCCAGCAGCACTCTCATCATCATCATCATCATCATCATCATCACCCTACACTTATCATTATCCCCCCATTATCACTGACACTACCGCTGTAATCACAATAACAGATGCCTAATTTAATACATAAATCCCTGCTAACATTTAAACTCACTACTTTCCAGCACAATTACTAAGGAGAAACATACAATGTAGTCAATTTCTGGGTGGGAAGGGGTCGTATTTTCACTGTCATTAAAGTGCAAGCCAAGTCAGTGTGGGATTTCCTTCAAGCCTACTATAAAATAGGAGTTGGAGAAAATATCTATTCAACAATGTTTGTACTGACTGGTGTGATAAAACAAAACAAAAAATCTGTGGTGCCAAATATTTATTTTTGAAATTATATTTTTATCACTGCAGCGAATATAGCAACAGTACGGCAGCTTTCAGTAGCAATTCCCAGGTCCTTATGTACAGGTCTTTGATGTATTACCCCATGTTTCCACGGCAACCATAAACATGTAGCGTTTCATGGCGGCCGCCACGACAAGACATAAAATCAGGGATTTCTCTGACTTTGATAACTGTTAAAAATATTTGAGGTAATGTAAGAACTCATACATAACATAGGTTTAGTTGATTTTTAATTCATTTCGATAATTCATTGTAAAGATTGTAACAATGCATATTGTACGTTCAATTGACCAAAGAACAACTTGACAAGGGGGGTACCTTTTAGGGGCACTTTGTATTCTTTGGTAAATCAGCTTTGAAATAAATAAATGATCATAGAATAGCTGTATCAGGATATTATTGTTATTATTGGCCCTGCAATCCCGACCACTAATCTAAAACATAAAACCATTAAAAAAAAATGGTGTAACTATTAACATCATTAACGGTGCAGTTGTTTTACAGACCAACAAACCTTTCTTTAGCGTCTCTTATCTAATCCTCTGCATTTCCAACTTTGACAGTTTCTCAGCCAATCTTCCCTCCTTAACTTTTCATGAACTCTTTCCTTAACTTTGGCACTTCTATCAAAACTCAGTCTCCTTTAACTTCTTGTTCAAAGCATGTAAATCTCTTGGCAGACTGGCTAAACTTTGCTCAGTATATTAATGCAGAAGGCACTTGACCTCTGGCTGATCCTTTCTGTGGCTTTTATTTTTAAGTGTGTAGCTGCTGATACCATTAAAATGATGGGATCCTTGCCTTTCAAGATCAAAATAGAAGCACAGATCTGATCCATTTCTGTCTGCAAATGGTCAATCAATGGAGGCAAATATGTCATCATGAATACATCTTAAATCCTACCAATCTCTCTGTAGGGACAACAAGGCATCAAATAGAACCCTGTGGTGGCCTGGTATCAGGCTGATATCTGATACTAGACAAACGGGCCTGGCCAGTCTACTTGTAGGGGAGATAAAAGAACAGAAACAAAGCAACAGGAGAGACACACACACCTCACAGGGTGAATAGGTTTCACAGGACACACTGGGCTGCTTGTTCCTGTTATGTAACGTTAAAAGCATCTTCAGGTTCAATTACAACGTTGGATGGTATTATTGCATTATCAAAGAACACAGCTAAAGTTATTGTTAACAAACCCCATGAAAAGATAAAAACTGTGTGTGTGTGTGTACTCTTCACTGTGTTTACTTTAAAAAAAAAAGAATAATACTCTTGAACAGATCTCACACTTTTCTCTGTGAGAGAATGAATACTAGACTTTTTAGGGATAGTGAAACCTGCTTAATGTTGCTCTAATAAGTAGGATAGTTGGTAAATGAAGTATTCAACAATTATTATGTTAATGGGAATGAACAACCATGTCAACTGACGCTATAGTGGTGCTAATGTGTTGTTTTAGTTAACAGTAAAAACTGACAAACAATGAATTTATGTGGCACATATCAGGTTTTTCCTCCACTGAGAATACTTGTTTGGGGTATGAATTAGACAGTAGATTCAATTGTTATAGGTCAGAAAAAAGCTGTTAGAATATAGACTAGAATAGAATTACTTTATTGATCCCAAACTGGGAAAGTGTGGCGTTACAGCAGCAGGTTATCCAACACACAATATGAGTAAAAAACACAATGTTAGCAAATCTAAACACAATATAACATTAACTACAAAGTAAATAAGAACTAAAAATATCAAAACTAAGAATGTGAATATATACAACCAGGATTTAACTAAGCATTACTAGTCTTAAATAGGAAGATTAAATATGAAAGATTGAATGTAAATGTGCAAAAACAGAGTCATAAATGGTTGTAAATTAAATATGAAAGATTAAATATAAATGTGCAGAGACAGAGTTGTAAATGGTTGACTGCTGTTGGAGTGTATGAAATCCATATATGGGGTTATTACATTTAGACTAATGACTCATGTTTGCTTGGGGTTTTGCTATGACTTACAAAAATAAAAGGAGAAAGAAAAATTCAGAGAAAAAATGAATAAAGGAAGGAAGGCAGGGGACATAACCATCTAGCAGTGTGTAAATGATAGCTGAATCAAAGCTGAACCTGGGTTATTTAACAGGGACAAATTGAAGTAGACGATACCTTATATCCACGTTAACCTCAATCTGTGAACTCAAACCCTTTTCTGTCTTTTTGGTATCTGTTCCAAAGAGCAAAAAAAGAGTAACCGTTAAAGAATTGAACAGAGAGGTTAGATCAGCTCGTGTTATTCGAGTTCTTCTCTTCTTCAACCTGCCTGTCAGATTTCTT